CTGTTATCTCCTCGTGCTGTTATCTCTCAGCTGTTATCTCCTCATGCTGTTATCTCCTCGTGCTGTTATCTCCTCGTGCTGTTATCTCCTCATGCTGTTATCTCTTCATGCTGTTATCTGCTCATGCTGTTATCTCCTCGTGCTGTTATCTCCTTATGCTGCTGTTATCTCCTCATGCTGTTATCTCCTCGTGCTGTTATCTCCTCGTGCTGCTATCTCCTCGTGCTGTTATCTCCTCATGCTGTTATCTCCTCGTGCTGCTATCTCCTCGTGCTGTTATCTCCTCATGCTGCTGTTACCTCCTCGTGCTGTTACCTCCTCGTGCTGTTATCTCCTCGTGCTGCTATCTCCTCGTGCTGTTATCTCCTCGTGCTGTTATCTCCTCGTGCTGTTATCTCCTCATGCTGCTGTTATCTCCTCGTGCTGTTATCTCCTCATGCTGTTTATCTCCTCGTGCTGCTATCTCCTCGTGCTGTTATCTCCTCATGCTGTTATCTCCTCGTGCTGCTATCTCCTCGTGCTGTTATCTCCTCATGCTGCTGTTACCTCCTCGTGCTGTTACCCTCCTCGTGCTGTTATCTCCTCGTGCTGCTATCTCCTCGTGCTGTTATCTCCTCGTGCTGTTATCTCCTCGTGCTGTTATCTCTTCATGCTGTTATCTCCTCATGCTGTTATCTCCTCGTGCTGTTATCTCCTCGTGCTGTTATCTCCTCGTGCTGTTATCTCCTCGTGCTGTTATCTCCACTCTCGCTCTCCTTTCTTCATCTGCCTGTGCCCCTCTCCCTTCCTGCCCTCCCATCCGTTCCCTGAGAGTTAGATGCTCAGAAGATACTTCTGGTATAAGCACCTATGCTGCCGTCTCACCACCCGTTGCTCCCTCTTTGGTCACTGTCTGCAACTACTTCAACCAATCTCCCCCCTTCGATCCCATTCCAGGTCCAGGTACTCCTGTCTCTCCTCCGACCCTCCTCTTGCTCGCATACAAGTCCGGGGCACAACAACCGGTGCAGGCGTGCACTCATGGCGCCTGCCTTTCCCATTACCATTCGTCATGCCACCTCATCTCATGGTGCACTCCCCCCCCTCCATTCCAGGTTCCCCTCTCGGCCCTCCACCCCCTCCTCTCGCTTGCACACGAGTCAGGGGCACAAGAACTGGTGCAGTCGTGCCAAGCAGCACTTGAGGCGCATAGCTCGGATTCTGAGGCGCGTAAAACTCAACCAACTCAACCAGATGCATCTGGCACAGCCCCTGGCAGATACGCTGCATCTGGACCGAGTGCTCTGGGATCCTCTGTTATAGGACCCTCCGCGCCGGGTGTCTATAGGGCTGTATCCCAGGGGGGCGACTCTGCTCTTAGTGCTACTGTTGCCGAGAGGCTCAAGTCAATCAAGTCAACCGACTCAGCCAGGTCAACGAGGTGTTCAAAGTCAACGCTGGTCAACGGGCTCGTGTGCCTCTGTTATCCAGTAGCCAGGAGCCAAGAGGAGGGAGAGAGTGGCTTGAGGCAAGCCCAGGCGCGGCTTAGGAGTGGGGATCAATCTGCGCTGCTCTCCTCACAGGACCAATGCTGGCAAGGGATGCTTGGGAAGGAGGAGAGCTGGGGTTTGAGGGAAGGGGATGGTGAAAGCTCAGGTGCATGCTCAGGTAGGTTTTCAGGTGGTAACACAGAAGCAGGTGCATCTGCAGGTGGAAGCACAAACACAGCCACAGCCACTGTTGCAACTGCAACTGCAAGTTCGATCTCGGACAAGGGAGCAGCAGGCGTCCCACTCCATGTCCTCTCGTCCGAGCGCCGCCTTTTTAGACACCTCCGTTGTGATTGCTGCGGTGGTGGCAGCAGGTCGTCAGAGACTTCAGAGCCTTCATTGGCTTCCACGGCTTCCATGTTAACTCTAAGAGCCTCACCTGCCAGCAGCACTGCCAGCCACACTGCCAGCCACGCTGCCAGCTACAGCGGCAGCTACAGTGACGTGAGCGTGCAGGCGGCCCAGCACGGCAGCACGGTGTTTCGAGCGCACCGAGTGGTGCTCTGCGCCTGGAGCACTGCTTTCCACAAGGCAAGTACTCTCTGCTTTGTGTTATATATATATATACATATATATGTATATATATGCATATATATTTGGTCTCTCTAGGAGATATTAATCTCCTTGGGGTTTTCTCATCCGCCATTATTCTATTTCTTGATTATATCTCTCAACTCCTATGCTCACCCCCGTTTGCTCTCGTCCAATCAGATGCTGACAAGTGGCATGCGGGAGGCCACATCACATGAGATTGTGATCGGAGGTGCTTCTAACGAAGCCGTCGGCGCACTCCTGCACTTCTTCTATACCGGAGAGCTTCCTACCCGCTCATCACACTCACACCCGTTACAGTCACGCATGGTGCACCCGTTACAATCACGGTCAATGTCTGCTGCAGCGTCCAAGAGCACTGAAAGCGTGCTTCTGTCTCTGCTGTGCCTGGCGGACCGCTTCTGCATCCCGGCCCTGCATCACGCTGTGAACCAACGGCTGCTCGCATGTATTGATGAGGTGAGCGATGGCTTGTAATGAGGTGTGAGACTAATAGGTGTTGCGGTGCAATCAAGAGCACTCACACTGTGCTGCCGTCTGTCGCTGCTGTGCCTGGCTGACCGTTCCTGCATCACGCTGTTTTTGAGGCGCCTCAAAAATAGGTTCCTGCATCACGCTGTTTTTGAGGCGCCTCAAAAATAGGTTCCTGCATCACGCTGTTTTTGAGGCGCCTCAAAAATAGGTTCCTGCATCACGCTGTTTTTGAGGCGCCTCAAAAATAGGTTCCTGCATCACGCTGTTTTTGAGGCACCTCAAAAATAGGTTCCTGCATCACGCTGTTTTTGAGGCGCCTCAAAAATAGGTTCCTGCATCACGCTGTGAACCAACAGTTGCTGGCATGTGTTGACGAGGTGAGATGGCTTGCAGTGAGGTGCGACGTTTAAGTTGACTCAAAAATCACCTTTTGATTTGAGTTGACTCAAAAATCACCTTTTGAGTCGACTAATAAAATCCGCTGTGAAACAGCAGCTGCTCGCATGCGTTGATGAGGTGAGGTGAGCAATGGCTGGTAATGAGGTGACGTGGCTTGGCAAGGCTGGTTTGGATGTGTTGATGTGGCGAGTTGAGTTGATAAGTTTTATTTTGGCATATAAATATTCGCCTGTTCTCCTGCTCCTTCACCCCTGCGTGCCACTCTCCCTCCAGTCCTCAGCGTTCCTCATGCCAATCTTCCCCTGGCCCCTCCCTCCCCCCACTCCCCTCTCCCTTCAATCCTCAGTCCCTCCCTCCCCCCACTCCCCTCTCCCTCCAATCCTCAGTGTTCCTCACGCCAACCTTCCCCTGCCCTTCCCTCCCTCGCTCCACTCTGCTCTGCCTCCGGCCTCAGTACTCACCACTCTTCAAGTTGCTGCATCGATCCCGGGGGAAAGCTGGTTCCCACGTCACAGACCCCTGTGATCCATCACTCTTCCCCTGCCCTTCCATCCCTCGCTTCACTCCTCTCTCTCTCCCTCCAGGCTCCACGCTGCGATTTGCTGCCCGTGTTCCGGGGAACTCCTGTGCTGCGCCCACCACCACTGCTGTTTTCTCTCCCCTCCCTTAGTCCCTTATCTCTATTTTTTGAGGCGCCTAAAAAAACTGCGCCCACCACCACAGCCGTTTTCTCTCCCCTCCCTACATCCCTGTTCTCTATTACCTATCTCCCATCACCCCCCCACTCCTCTCCCCCTCCAGGCTTCAGCATTCGCCACCCTGCGGGTTGCTGCCTCTATCCCAGGGGACACTTGCGCCCACCTGACAGCTGTCGCCGCCTCATTGGCTGCTGCTCAGTTCGAGCGGTGTGTGGCTGCTGACAGGGAGGGGTTGAGGCTGCTGCCGGCTGCTGCTCTAACAGCTGTGCTGCAGGTGAGCTGCGCTGGTGGGACAGGGGTAAGCGGATCGGTATGTGGCTGCTGACAGAGAGGGGCTGAGGCTGCTGCCTGCTGCTGCTCTAACAGCTGTGCTACAGGTGAGCTGCGCTGGTACAACAGTGGTTCACCCTTGACACTCATGGTGCACGCATGGCAGTGGGGTGCTGACGGAGAGTCGCTGAGGCTGCTGCCTGCTGCTGCTTTAGCAGCCGTGCTGCAGGTGAGCTGCGCTGGTATGACAGTGGTTCACCCCTTTTCAGTCATGGTGCACGCATGTCGGTTGTTGGAGCAATCTGTGTGGGTGCTGACAGGGATGGCTTTTGAGTCGACTCAAAAGTCACTTGGCCGGATCTGTGTGGGTGCTGACAGGGATGGCTTTTGAGTCGACTCAAAAGTCACTTGGCCGGATCTGTGTGGGTGCTGACAGGGATGGCTTTTGAGTCGACTCAAAAGTCACTTGGCCGGATCTGTGTGGGTGCTGACAGGGATGGCTTTTGAGTCGACTCAAAAGTCACTTGGCCGGATCTGTGTGGGTGCTGACAGGGATGGCTTTTGAGTCGACTCAAAAGTCACTTGGCCGGATCTGTGTGGGTGCTGACAGGGATGGGCTGACGCTGCCCCCTGCTGCTGCACCAACAGCTGTGCTGCAGGTACTTAGTCTAGTTAAGCTAGAGGTACTTAGTCTAGTTAATGTACAGGTACTTAGTCTAGTTAAGGTACAGGTACTTAGTCTAGTTAAGTTACAGGTACTTAGTATAGTTAAGGTACAGGTGCTTAGTCTAGTTAAGGTACAGGTACTTAGTCTAGTTAAGGTACAACTCTAGTTAAGGTACAGGTACGTAGTCTAGCTAAGGTACAGGTACTTAGTCTAGTTAAGCTACAGGTACGTAGTCTAGTTAAGGTACAGGTACTTAGTATAGTTACTCCAGTGCAGTGTTAAAGGCTGGTGTTCAGCCATGATGCATCACGTCCCAACTCAATTGCCCCTGTGTGTCCACACTGCCACCTGTCTGGTTACCACCTCCCATCTGGTTACCAGAGCCCCTTCTTCTGGACGACCAACGAGGAGAGAGTGCTGGATGCCGTGCTGACGTGGGCCATGCAGCGAGCTGACGTCAGCACATGGAAGGAGGCGGAGCGGGCTTTGGGGGAGGTGATGGTGAGAGAGGAGAGGGAAGAAGGGGAGGAGGAGGGAGGGAAGGAGAGAAAGCCAGAGGAGGAGGAGGTGGGGAAGGAGGAGGGGAAGGAGGAGGCGGAGCGGGCTTTGGGGGAGATGACGATGAGAGAGGAGCGGGAGGAGAGGGAAGAAGGGGAGGGATGGGAGGAGTGCAGAGGGGAAGAGAGGAGGGAGGAAAGGAGTACAGATAGGGGGGAAGAGGATATTGCAAGGCACGCCCCTTGTACTAGTGGGTGCCACGAGGACTGTAGCACTGATGAGGCGCTTTTGCATTCTGAGCTGCTCAGTCGGCTACAGCTGGAGGGAGCCGAGCCTATGCTACAGCCGCTAAGGGGGGAAGCATTATTGGAGGAAGAGGAGGACGAAGAGGAAGAGGAGGAAGAGGAGGACGAAGTTTCTGGGTTGCTGCAGCACGTGCAGTTCATGTCCCTCCCAGACACCATCCTATTCAGGCTCAGAGACAGCCTGCTTGCCACGTGGCTTCCCACCATTCGCCGATCCGTGCGTCTCCTTTCCCCGCCTTCACCATTTGCCAATGCTCTCAGTCGATCTGTTTGCGTTGGCGATGGCTTTTGAGGCGCCTCAAAAGCACTCTCCGTGCATCCCCCTTTCCCCGCCTTCACCATTTGCCAATGCTCTCAGTCGATCTGTAGGTGATTTTTGAGTCGACTCAAAAATCACCTTTGCCAATGCTCTCAGTCGATCTGTAGGTGATTTTTGAGTCGACTCAAAAATCACCTTTGCCAATGCTCTCAGTCGTTCTGTTTGTGTTGGCGATAGTTTCATACTCTATGCTTACGACGCGTCTCGAAAGTATCTCAATGTTCCTTTTTTTTTCATTTCTGTTATTTTATGCAATATTTTCAGATTCTATGCTGGGCATATGTCGCGTCACCACTCTCCACCACTCTCCATTGCCCCGTGCCCCTCCTCTGTCCCCTCTCCCTGCCCTGCATTCAGCCTGACAGGTAGATTGCCCACCGCAACTGGCACAATGCTTTTGAGTTGACCCATAAGCGAGCCTGCCTCTTGCCTCTCCTCTCCCCTCCTGTTTGCCCTGCTCTCAGGCCATCAAGGAAATTGTCCGCCGCAACCTGCACAGCCAAGCAGCCACAAGACCTCAAGCCTACCCTCCTACCCCACAAGGTCACTCCAGCCCCTTCTCTGGCTCACCACTCTCCACCGCACGGGACCACTGCTATCCACCTTTTCCATCGGAGACAAGTCATGGGTTTTCTCCCCCACCACACAGCCAGGGTTTAATTCTCCCCGTCCACAGCTCCCACCAGCCATCCGATTCCATCCAGTTAGATCTTGGCCGTCGGATCGTCCGGTTCACCTCCCCTGACCTCCCGCCCCGAGCCTGGCCGTCAGGCTCGGTGGGTGCTGTGCCGCGGGCCTGGTCCCTTGAAAGCAGTGGACGGGAGAGAGGGGGCCGGCATGATAAGGACCGTTCGAAGGAATGGGGGCGTATTGAGAAGGGAGCAGAGGGATGGGCGCGGGAGGGGACGAGAGTGAAGGGAGGGGGGCGAGATGAAGGGAGGGAGAAGCGGGAAGCGCAGATGGGATTGACGGGAGGGGCTCGTGCGTGTGCTTGTCAGGCTCAAGCGGATCTTGAAACGTTTGAGGATAGGATGCACGTGTGTGCAGATGATAGGGATGCCAGTTGCACGGCGAGAGGGAGGGAGGCTCAACCGCACACACGTGCAGCAGGACAAGAGGCCGAGGCTCGAGAATCAGCAACCAGGGAAGGTCCTGACAAGGGAGGTATTGGTCAATACGGCGCGTCTACACAGGTTACTGCGCTTGCAGGAGGGGGTTTTGTGCCGGCGCTGGGGCACGGGCGAGGAGAGAGACGTGAAGCTGGATTGCGTGGAGTGGAGGAAGGAGGGGTGGGGCAGAGAGGGGGAAGGGCGGCGTCTTATGGCGGAGGTGGTTGTGCGCGGTTGAGGGAGGGGGATAGAGAGCGAGTGATTTTTGAGTCGACTCAAAAATCGTCTAATGGCGGAGGTGGTTGTGCGCGGTTGAGGGAGGGGGATACAGAGCGAGTGGGAGAGGGAAGGCGGACGGAAGGGGGGGAGGGATGGGGAAGGGCAGCAGGGGAAGGGAACGGCGTGGAGGGAGGGGAGGAGCGGGTACTGAAGAGAAGAGGGGAAGGAGAATCGGGGGAAGTGCAAAGGCCGAAGGGGAGGGAGGCAACAGAGAGTGGATGGAAGGGGATGGGGAGCACAGGGAGAAGATTTCTGGAGGCAGAAGTATTGGAGGCATGCGGACGCATGGAGGCAAGTGGGAGTGGGCGAAGGCGAGTGGAGGGTGCCACAGTGGACGAATCAATGCGACCGTCTGGTCAGCTTTCGGTTCGCGTGACTCAGGCGCCGCCCGACCAGGTTTCTGGGTTTAGGATTTCTGCGACTGCAGATGACAGTATGGGAGGGGGTGGAGCAGAAGATAGAGAAGCAGCTGCAGGCGGGAGCGAGGAGAGGGGGGAGCGGGGCGGTATGGGAGTGGGTGCGAGGCGGACAAACCACGACAGAGCAGCAGCAGCTGCTGCAAGGGGGGAGGAGGAGGGGGAGAAGCGGGTCAATAAGAAGGGGAGCACGAGAGAGCGGCAGCAGCTGCTGCATTTGTTGCTGCAGCAAGGAAAAGAGCAGCGGATTCTCCTGCTCCCTTGATGAAAGGGTCGCCGCCCTTGCTGCTGGCGCCAGGTTTAACCAACCCCCGCGTCCTTCAGTACATGCACGACGGGGATAAGAACGGCGTGTGTTACCATGCCGGGACGTCCTACGGGCGGCACCCTTGGATGAATCCGGTGCTGCTGGGGGTGAGTTGGTTGGTACCCCATGTGGCTTTGGGACCGAACGTGAGTGGTCTGGCTTTGAGGCGCCTCAAAACTGGTCCGTGTTTCGAATCTCCGGAATGAGCAGTGTGTGCCAGCCACCATCACCATGAAGGCACGTCGCACGGTATTTTTGAGAAATCTAAAAAATGAGCGGTGTGTGCCACCGTCACCATGAAGGCACGTCGCACGGGAGGCACCGACAACGACGATGTCTTTGAGCCTTTTCTGTATCATCGTCTTTGATTATGCTACAAGGATGTCTCGTCTTTCCTTCCTTCCGTCTCGCTTTCTCCTCCTGATGTCTATTCAACTCTCTCGTTTTTCCTCCTCTAATTTTGGGCTAATCCTCCCCCTCCGTTTCCCCACGTTCTCCTTCCTCCCCCCTGCGCCCCCCTTCCCCTCCCCCCAAACCATCCCAGACCCTCTCAGTGGCAGCCAGCAGCCCTCCCTCTCGCTACACCGATAGCAAGCTCATTGTGTCAGGGGATTATGTGGTGAGTGAATGCAGTTGTGCGCGGTTTAGTGTGGTGCAGTGCAGTGCAATGTGGTGCAAAAAGGTACCATGCAGTGCATGGCAGCCAGCAGCCCTCCCTCTCGCTACACCAATGGCAAGCTCATTGTGTCTGGCGATTACGTGGTGAGTGTCTGATGTGGTTGAATGCGCCCCCCTACTCCTCCGCTCTTAGTAGTACCAGGCAAAAGTTCGTCTCAGGGGAGCAAACTTCTCAAAGCACTTGTATGCCCTGCCTATATGCACTGCCCCAACAACTCATGTGGAAAGTGGACCATCTCTGCATGTGCTCTATTCTTTATGCCCCTATGCTCTGAACCTAATGCTTAAAGGCAAGGTTAAAGACGACCTTTTCTTCTTCTTCTTTACCGTAGGGTACGCTACCGAATTGTATGGTCGTATGATTCCATAAACGACGGTCAATGCTGTATATTCTGGTCTGGTTAAAACATGCGGCCGAAGTTTTCAATGAAATTGTGAAAATTACCGGTGAAATGCGCGGATCTGGCATTTTGCCCACCAAAGTGTGCCGGGTCTAGCGTTTTGGTGGACGAAATGTGTGGATCCGGCGGACGTTTAGGCTTCCCCCCCCCCGAAAAAAAGGGTTGCTAAAAGTTCCTTTGGAAAAACAGCGTGTTTTTTCCTGAATGCTTGGGAAAAACGGTCGCATTATATGACAGCCGTTTTTTTTTACCTCGCTTTCATGCTCCCAAATGTCCCCAAAATCCCCAACCCAACCCCATCAGAGCTCGTCCTTTGCTGGGCCTCGTGTGGAGGGCGGTCGCATGACTGCATGGTGGCGGATCGACCTGGGGGAGAAGCACAAGGTGAGGTCCCCGCTTTGGGTCAAGGGTTTGAGAGTGAGGCTGTCAGACTACTTATTTGGGTTTGCATGGCATGACTGATGGTGGCGGGTCGACTTGGAGGGTGTTTTTTTTTCATCGCTCCAACTCAGATCCAGGAAGCGGCTCAGGTATATGGATTAATTGCTGCCAAATACGAGGAAACTTTGTGAATGCGGCTTTTTACATGTCCAGTGAGGCACTGAGGAGATGGTGTAGCAAAATGTGGGGGGATGTAATGAGGGATAGTCCCCACGTTGCTGCACCAGTTTCTTGGTGATTCGCTAGTCTTATAAGCAACCGGGATCACACAGTCTCCTCATACTTGACAGCAATTGATTTATATACTTGAGCCGCTTCCCGAGCCTGACTTGGAGTGCTGAAAACAAATCACACATCCACAAAGCTCCCAATTTGTATTTTACCTGTTCCCAAGACTCATTAGGTCCCGTAGCCTTTTTTTCAACAGGATGTATCTGGGGGGAAAACACATGGCATGCTTTTAGTACATTAATAAGGGTTGCTTGCACTTGCATCCATCCTTTTATCATCTCTTTCCGTTCGAAGTCTTTGCCGCTCGCGTTTTCCATGGCAAATTCTTCTAGGTGTATGCATGCTTAGTTGTATAGTACATGTGTGCATATGTGTTATGTGTATATTCATGGTTACAGTTTGTGAATATATGTGTGTGTATGTGAGTTTGCACATGGTCAACACCCTCTCGTCTCACTCATTTCCCCCATATTCCCCTCACCACCTCAGCTTCTCTGCAACTTCGACACGGTCCGGCAGGAGAGCAGCCCCAACTACATGCACCACTACATTCTCCACTTCTGCCCTCCTTGTGGCACTCATTTCCCCCATTCCCCACACCCCTTCTCCTCCCCCTCTTCCCCCTTCAGCTCCTCTGCAACTTCTACACAGTCCGGCAGGACGGCAGCCCCAACTACATGCGCTCCTGGTGCCTTGAGGTGGGTGCCTTTGCTGATGTGATACAAGAGTGTGATGCAAGAGTGTGATACAAAGGAGGTGATGCAAGAGTGTGATACAAAGGAGGTGATGCAAGAGTGTGATACAAAGGAGGTGATGCAAGAGTGTGATACAAAAGAGGTGATGCAAGAGTGTGATACAAAGGAGGTGATGCAAGAGTGTGATACAAAGGAGGTGATGCAAGAGGGTGATACAAAGGAGGTGATGCAAGAGGGTGATACAAAGGAGGTGATGCAAGAGGGTGATACAAAGGAGGTGATGCAAGAGTGTGATACAAAGGAGGTGATGCAAGAGGGTCCGATGTACCATGCGCTCCTGGTGCCTCAATGTGAGTACCTTGGTTGGTGTGACTGTTTAAAGTTTGTGTGGCACTAAAGGGTGTGCTATGCACGTCACGGACATTAATGCCCTCCTTGGAGCACTCACTCATCTCCAACTCTTCCCCTTCTCCCTCAACTTTGCCGCCCCTTTTCCAACCCCAGGCTTCCAACAACGGATCTGATTGGACAAACCTCCGGCTCCACTCAGATGACACCTCCCTGTGCCGCCCGGGGCAGTATGCGTCCTGGCCAGTCGACACCTGTGCCAGACCAACTGCTAAACCGTGCAATGTGATTGGTCCGGCTAGATTCTTCCGGATTCGCCTTGTGGGCCCCACAAGTGCAAAGCAGAACGCTTGGAACCTGTGCCTGTGTGGCATCGAGCTGTATGGATTCTTCTTCTGATGTCACATGGAATGTGTACAGTACGTACTCTCTCGAGTACAGTACAGTGCTAATGCTGGTTCTTTCAAAGCTACTCAAGGTCATTCGCACACGCCACCCTGAAATGAGCAGACAGACTGCCTCTCACTTGGTTCGTATACTGGGGGTTGTGAGAAGCAATCATCCGCAAATCATATCCGAACTGCCAGGTAAGCAAAGCCTCGTCATGGCCCATACATACACCTCAAGTTGCATCACAGGGGCGTGCCCTTGCTTCAAGAGACACAGTGAGCACCAAGAGGGTTTATAGTTCGCATATTGGGTACTAAGAGGTGTACACATGTGCACTGCCATGTTATAGGGTATACTGGGCTCGCAACATTCAGCACCAGCAGAAGTAATGATGAATCTCTATGATAGGTCTTGTTACAGGCCACTTTACAGGCCACACGTTACAGGCTATGTTAGAAACACTAAGAGGGATAGTTAGGCCTCATCACGTCGGTTCGGTGGCTGTCAGCCCTGCTGCCAGCCACTGCCGCTGCTACTTCTGACAAAATTTGCCGCAGGCTGCTACCTTTTGCTTCTGCCACTGCTGCTGCTGGTTCTCTGGCTGCAGTTGCTGAGTGCTGCTCTTGAACCCGCCCTTCACCAGCAGAAGAGTCCTCTACCTGTCCCACCAGGTTCGCCCACCCCACTCCCCCCCCCCTTTTCACTGCATTATCCACCACCCTTTGAAGCTCGGGGGTGTCTTGGTGGTGAGGTGAGTCTGAGAAACTCAGCAGGTGGGACTCGCAGCACGGCAAGCATTGCAGAGAGGTGTTGTGGCCAGACTTCAGAAGCGAGCCGACTCTGAGTTGACCCTTTAAGATGGTAACGCCACAGCAGCCAAGCAGGCAGCAGCAGAGGAGACAGCAGCTGAGCACACAGAGAGTAGCCGCACGCCACCCGAGTCGACTCGAGCATCAGTAGGATGGCCAAGAGCCCACAGCATCACTCAAACGCCCCCTCCCCCGTGGCAAAGGCACTGGCGATCAAACCCTCCTTCACACTGCAGCTGGCCTTCTCCCTTGTTACCAGCAAGTTACTCAAACACCCTCTCCCCCGTGGCGAAGGCATCGAAGATCAACGCACTGACCACACAGAGGGAAGCCGGTGTGAAGAACACCCACCACCACCCAGGGTCAATCCCCCCTCCCCTCCTCCTCCTACTCCGCCTCCCCCACCACTCAACCCCCCCACTCCCCCCTCCCCCCCACCACTCCCCCCCCACCCGCCCCATCACCCCCTGAAAACGCCTCGAGAATCAGCCCAGAAGCTGCCACCCCAACCACCCCTGCCATGGTGCCAGCAGTGTTCGATACACCCATCACCACCCCTGCGAACCGAGGCGCTATATCCATGTGGTTGACTGCAAACCCTGCTCGGGCAATCGCACACGCGCCTAGGGTTAGAGACGAGCAGAGCACTGCGCCGTTGACGGATTTAAGGACGGGGGTTAGGGCTAGGGCGACTGCTGAGGCAAAGAAGCCTATAGTGTTGAGGACCTTTCTTGTACCCCCTACAGTCAGGTACCGTTTTGCGATTAAGTGATCGGCGAGTACACCCCCGATATTGGAAAACAGAGTCATGATATAGTATGGCATGGCTTTACCGGACCCTACGTTGTGCAGGCTGGTGTTTAGGGCTTGGTGGAAGTAAGTAGGGAGCCAGTTCATAAGAACATATAGCGCGTAGTGGAAGGTGAAGTTATTGGCTACTATGGCCCACACCGGCGCGCTCATGAGGATCGGTACCCAGGGAATAGGAGGGTCTTTAGCCATGGATGGCTTGTAGGACGTCTTGAGGTGTTTAGGCGTTGAGGTGAACTCCTCTCCCAGTCTCTTTAGCCGCTGAAGCTCCTCCTCTCTTCCCCCCATTCCCCCTGAACCCGACGCTGAAACTGCACTTGATGGGGATTTAATTCCCCCCATGCTTGCTCCGCCCACTCCCCCAGCCTTCCCAGCTTCCCCTCCCCTCACTCCCCCTCCCCCTCCGCCTCCGCCTCCTGCCCCTCCGCCATTTCCCACACTGCCTCCCCCCCCTGTTCCTCCTCCTATTCTGTGCACTACTTCTGTCTCCAACCCTGTCCCCCCTCCCCTCCCCCTGTCGTCCTCCCCATTCACCAGCGGAAGCAGCTCCCCCTCGCTCCCCTTGTGCCCCCCCATGCCCCCCCCTACCGGCACATGAGCAAACGCCGTAGGCCCCCCCGGGGGGTCTGATGCGTACTTAACCCATAGAATAGTCCACGCGACGCCCATAGCGGCTACTAACTGGAACACCGACTCGGGGCCTCTAGAGGCTACTAATCCGGGTAAGATCTGCATAGCTATGCCGGCTCCTAGGTACATTCCGGACATTGATAAACTAACCGCGCGCGATTTCTCATGGGGAGGCGTCCATTGAGCTAGAACAGTGTGTATCGCGGGGAAAATGAATCCCTGTGCGATGCCTACTAGCAGGCGGATTACAACGAGCGTGACTGTATTGGGGCCGCTGCCTGTACTGTCAGGGGGTGACTCGGTGGGCGTGAGGACGCATAAAACGGACCAGGCTACAAACGAGTACGTGAGGACGCGTCTACCGCCATACTTTTGGGACGCCCAACTGCCGGGAACCTGGGAGGGAGTGCAAGAGGGGCGAAGAGGAAAGGATGGGAAACATGAGATTGCAGGCGAGTAGCAGGTATGCTACCAACGAGTATGTAAGGGGGGGTGCCTGCCACCATCATTTTGAGAAGCCCAACTGCCAGGGGCCTGAGAAGAGTGCGAGAGGGATCAAGGGGAGGAGAGAGGGTGGAATGGGAAACAAGAGGGCGGTGGTGAGCAACGAACAGGCAGGCGAGAAGGCGGCAGTAGGTTTGGGGAAAGAGAGAGAGAGAGATTGCATGCTTCGAGGCGACGTATATCGTGAGTGAGAGGGTGAGATGAGAGGTGGGGAGAAGGAGGAGATAAGAGAGCGGACAGGGAGAAGAGAGAAGGGAGAAGAGAGAAGGGAGCGCGAGGAAGGAAACGAGGGCGCGCTTGAGGTTAAACAAGGGAGTTCGCTTGAGGTTAAACAAGGGAGTTCGCTTGCAATTTTGACTTGTTTCCAAATTCACATGCCTGTGAGGAGGCATATCTGTAGTGAATGGTTTTTTAGAATTCTAAAACATCACCTGACTCCAAATTCACCTGACTCCAAATTCACCTGACTCCAAATTCACCTGACTCCAAATTCACCTGACTCCAAATTCACCTGCCTGTGAGTTAGCATATCTGTGGCAAAAGGGGGAAACGTGTTGAGGCGCATAAAAAGTGAGCGGTGTGTTAGGTGAAGTAGGGAGGTTTTTTAGTCGACTCAAAAGGTGAAGTAGGGAGGCTTTTGACTCAAAAGGTGAAGTAGGGAGGCTTACCTGCGAGGAGGCTTACCTGCATGGAGGCTTACCTGCGTGGAGGCTTACCTGCGTGGAGGCTTACCTGCGAGGAGGCTTACCTGCGAGGAGCTCACCTGCGAGGAGGCTTCCCTGCGTGGAGGCTTACCTGCGAGGAGGCTTACCTGCGAGGAGGCTCACCTGCGAGGAGGCTTACCTGCGTGGAGGCTCACCTGCGAGGAGGCTCACCTGCGAGGAGGCTCACCTGCGAGGAAGCTCACCTGCGAGGAAGCTCACCCGCGAGGAAGCTCACCTGCGAGGAGGCATATCCGTAGTAAAAGGCCGACATGACCCATCCTTTCGTCGCCTGATCCACGCCTTCCCGGATCGCGATGGCGGTGTACGCGATAGAGAAGCCCACGCGTTCGATATAGCACACGGCGGAGCACACTAGCGTGAGCAGCACGATGACGTAGCGTTGCGGGAGGATGAGGTGGAACAACGCCGCCGTGCTGCCGCTGCTCGTGATGCCGGGGATGTTCACGATACTGCCCATGCCGGACCCGTTATAATCCGCCGCTTAACGAGTCCGGTTTTCCGATAAAATAGTTATTGTGGGGGAGTTTTGGAAGGAGACCAAGAGAGCGGCTGGCGAACGCTTGTATCTGCTGCAAGTAGCGGGGCACTGATAATGAGTCCACGCATATCGCGGACGAAATACTGCCAAATTCAGCTGGATTCACCAGTCGAAAACGTGAAGAGGTTGTAACTGTTGAGAGGAACGCACGCAATTCGCTGATTTCCCGGGGGGGCTTAGTTTGGACTTGAAAGAGAGAGTGACTGCTCGCACTTGAGGAGGCGGAGGCGACGCTACTTAGGCAGTCACTGCACCGTCACACGGCTTCAGTCACCTCAAGGGCTCTCATCACAGCGACACGCAGCTTCCGGCTCTGTTCTAAGGCGGCCCTTCTGGAGACACTGCTGGGCCCTCGCCGGCAGGTGATTTTTTAGTCGACTCAAAAACCACAGCGGCACGCAGCTTCCTTGGTACTGTTGACACTACTCCTTGGTTCTAAGAGGGCCCTGCTAAAGACACTACTAGGCCCTGGCCGGCAGGTCCTTGTTCAAGGCTAGCAATCATCAGTGGTAGGATGTGAAATCTCGGCGATCTCGCTAGCCAGCAGTTGCTCTGAGGGGTCCTTGACGGACGATGGCGATGCGGATGTTGCACGGCTCTGCAGTGTTTCCCAGGATCCTCCGAATTGAGTACTCCCCCCGGAAAGTACCAGAAAAAGGTATGTCAGGAAGAGTTCCAGAGACACGGTAGAGGCATATATAAACTGGCCATTTTTGGACTAGCCAGCATCCAAGGGAATATTTCAAATTCTCCTCTCCCAGGGCGTGGCCAAGAATACCTCCCCTCCCTAATACAATTACTACGGGGCAGTACGGTGCCAACTTATTAGGAAACGGTTCAGATATGCAAAATGCACATCAAGCCCCCAACAACCAACGCCAGACCGACCATGGAGTTCCCATATTCTTGGGAATGCCGAGCCTGGCTGCTGCTTTAGTGGCAGCCGAAAAAGCACGCCACGTGGATAAAATACTGATAGGCGACACCGAAGTGTCGCATCGGATCGCAAGGGCTCGGTGAAGGTGACGGCCAGCACCTTTCGCACATCCAGGTCTACCCTCAGGTGACGTGAAAATCTGCGGCGTCGCAGGAGTTTTGGCGTTACGGACATCCTCATTTTCATGGATGTTATGAATAAATCAGAGTAATAACAGGTAGTGTAATAAAGGAGTCTTGATTCAAGAGTGTCGATACAAATGAGGGCTTAGGCATTTATAGGCACAAACAGATCTAGCCGAGAACCATGCGAACAGGTTGGGGCGGTCCGGTTGGCGAAAGCTACGGAAGCGTCGTGCGTCTAGGTTTGGGTTCGCGAAGTGGTTCAGGACCGAAGAAGTTGGCTGGGCCTGGACTTCCGAGAGTCGAGGGCGTACGCGCTATAGTCGAAACCAGTAAGGAAAGGAGAATTTCCTTATACCACCCCCCCTTCCGAGATGAGACTACCCACATCCGGGACACGTCGTCGGTATACATAGTCCCGGACAACTCTGTTTTCACCGAGCGTGGCTGCGGGAACCCAGAGATCGTCGTCACTGATGCGACCGACCCAGCGTACAAGGAAATCGATGGCTGCTGTGTCTCGATGTCCCCGTACACGATGAACAAGGATCTTGGACAGTGCTGCCGTCGGCTTGGGTACTGGGTTGACCGTAGGATTAATATGTTGACGGTCGAGATTGGTCGCACTCGGGACGAACGGTCGCAGGAGACTGACGTGGAACGAATCGTGAATTCGCCCGTCGTTCGGCAGCTGCAGATGGGCGATGACTGGTGTCACCATGCAGATGATGCGGAAGGGTCCGCAAAATCTTGGTCGTAATTTATTTGGGAGGGGGATTCCCAAATTCCTGGTGTCGAGCAGGACCGATTGCCCAAGGACAAGTGTTAAATCTCGGCGTCGTCGGTCAGCTTGCTGCTTAGCCCTCTGGTTGGCTTTTAGGATGGCATCGGCGGCTTTTTGCTGAGACTGTCGGAGACTTTCGACGAATTGCTGAGACCTTGGTGCCGAATTTTCTATCGGTTGTGATAGAGGGGTTGTCGGAACTATCCCGTAATTAAGGAAGAACGGGGACTAAGTAGTCGTGGCCGATGGGGCATTATCCTACGCAAACTCGATCAAGGGAAGGGCGTCTTCCCATTAGGTCGGGTCTGTGCATGTCGTGCGAATCAGCTGCTCCATCATCTAGCTGGTGCGCTCAGTCTGACCGTCCGATTGCGGGTGGTACACCGTAGATAGATGCAGACGTGTGCCGTACTGCTGCCAGGTTTTTGTCCAATAAGTTGGACGTAAACCGTGGGTCACGATCGCTGATGATTGCCGATGGGATGCCGTGTAGCCGCACGATGTTCGTGAGGATTAGTTTCGCTGTCTGCTTGGCAGTAATTGTCGTTTTGCAGGCAGCAAAATGGGTCGTTTTCGTCAACCAGTCAACGACGACGAGGATCACGTCATTACCGCTTGAACCAGCTGGCAGGCAAGTGACAAAGTCCATCATCACTTGTTGCCAAGGTCGACAGGGTGGCTCGAGCGGCTGCAGCAATCCAGCAGGTCGAAGTCGGGAAGACTTCATGCGTTGACACGTGGCGCAGGAGGTGACGTACTGCTGCGCGTCTTTCGGTAGGTCGGGCCAGTAATGATTACGACTCCGTAATTTTGCGGTTTTGTCGATGTCGTAGTGACCCGAGAAACTCGGGGCATGTGCCTCCTGGATCAGTAATTCCCGAAGGGTATGGTAGGCAAGGATCCAAATCCGATTGGTACCGGATTTTAGATAATAGGCCCCTTGTTTGACCATCAGTTGGGGATGACTGTTAGTGGTGAAGAATGGGTCAGTACTGTACCCGCGGGTGAATAGGTCAGTTAGCAACGGATTAGCTTGGGTAATTAGGACTGCGGCGGTGTGGACCGAGGGGCGGGTCAATGCGTCGGCGATGTTTATGACCCCTCACTTGTAGATGACTCTGTAGTGGAAATTGGAATCGAGGTAGTCGGGGATTCAGTGTCGGTTGGGCGCGGATGAATACTAGCGAATTGTGGTCTGTTCGGACTGTTACATCGGCGCTCGTCAGGTAGCACCCAGACTTTGAAAGCGTGAACGATGGCGAGTAACTCCTTGTCGTGGACAGGATAATTTCGCTCGGCCGGGTTCAGATTTCGTGACTCGTAGGCGATCGGTTGTAGGCCTTCGCCGAAGTCTTGTAACAAGACTGCGCCAACGGCCAAATCGCTAGCGTCGATGATGAGCTCGAATGGACGGTGGGAATCTGCAATCCGAAGAACTGGCGGTATAGTCAGGAAAATTTTGAGCTTTTCGAACGCAGCCTGCTGCTCTCCCCCCCCACTCAAAAAACGTGCCCTTCTTCAGGAGGTCCGTGAGAGGGGAGTTACCCCCGCCATGTTCGGAATGAAACGGCGGACGCAATTAACAAACCCCAGAAAACTCTGAAATTTACGGAGATTAGCCAGTGGCTTCCAGTCTTAGATTGTCGCGATGTTCTTGGGGTCGATTTTAACACCGTCGATGGAAATCACGTGACCCAAGAACTCCAGTTCGTGTTTAAAAAGCTCGCACTTAGAGCCCTTGGTGATGAGCCGGTTCTGCTACAAGAGAGAGAGAGAAAACTGCTTCCAAATCCTTCAAATGCTGCTCCCTTGTTGTGCTGTAGACGAGGATGTCGTCGAGGTACACGATGACGCATTTATCCAGCAGTGGCTGAAAATTTTCGTTCATGGTCAACTGGAATGTCGAAGGAGCGTTTGTTAAGCCGAAGGGCATGACCGTGTACTCGTAACTCCCGTACCGGGTTCGAAACGCCGTCTTGTAGCAGTCAGCTTTGTGCACTCGAAGTTGGTGGTAACTGCCTCGCAGGTCAATCTTCGAGAAAAATCTGGCCCCGCGAAGTTGGTCGATAAGTTCGTCTACACGTGGAATGGGGTAGCGAGACTTGATGGTAACCCGATTCAAGGCGCGGTAGTCGATACACATACGTAGACCGCCATACTGTATCTTTTCGGAGTGAAAAGGATCGGAGCTACAAATGGTGATGTGCTCGGGCGGACAAAACCTTTCTCGAGCAGGTAGTCCAGCTGGCGTCGAAGTTCAACTAACTCAGGCTGAGTTAGCCGCCATTGGGTCTGAATAGTAGGCTGCGCGCCGCGTTCGAGCTCGATTTTGTGGTCATGCGACCGCTGAGGTGGCAAGCTCGCTGGTAGGTCGTCTGGAAAAATTACGGCGTGCTTCCGAATCACTGTTGCCAAATCATCCGGTACAGCTGCGCAGAGTTTGTCAATGTCGGTCGGCGTGTCGACAGCCATTGATGCGATCCATCGGACGACATACAGTTGCTCTCCTCGAATCATTGCGTGCTTTATAGTCACTGTGCTGACCGTCAATGTTGTCGAGTCTTGACTGCTCCACTTGGGTAGTCGTCGCCACTCGCCACTCCACTTTATGCGACAATCATCCGTCCGCCAGTCGATGCTCGGGTTGTATTCGCACAACCAATCGCGTCCCATCAGCATGTCGCACCCGTCCAAAGTTGTCGCCAGCATCTTCGTCGTGAAACTGAAGTTTTCGCTACAGGTCACTCGCACGTGAGGCACACGCTCCCGAATCGCCAGTGGAGTATCGTCAACCAACGTCTCGTCGATTTTGGGCATGGAGCGCTCCAGCTGCAATCAGACTTTCTTCGCCTTTGTCACATCCATCAAACTGTGGCTTGCCCCACCATCAATAAATATTTTGATGCAGGTGTCGCCAACTCTTCCTTCGACCAGCACAGGGCGATCAACCGGTTCACCCCCCTTATTCAGCTAGGAATGGTAGATAGTCCAAATCGGCACTATAACTTGGTGCGGGTGTTGGCGTTTAGGCGACGTAGTCAAGTCAGTAGGTGGCTCATCTGCTACTGACGATCTCCATTTCCCGACTCCTTCCCGTCGTTAGCTAAGTTCTTCTTCAGCTGCGGTATTCCCTCACTATGTGGCTCGGCTGGTTGCAGTGGAAACAACATCCGGAAAATACCCGGGCTGCAAACACGTCCACGCCGTTGATTGATGTGTGTTGGGGCTGTCCTCGAAAGCGATTTCCCTCCCGGAAACCCGCCCTCGCGAGTCCATGCCTCGCGTCCAGCGCATCCGCGATTCGGACAATTTCGTTGAATGTTGCCGGGGCTCGCAGAACGATCTCTTGCTAAATCTCTGGCTTGAGACAACCCACGTAGCGATCGATCTTCTCGTCTTCGCTAAGCCCTCCGATTTGATCGCATGGCGCCAAGAACGAAGCCGTGTATTCGTGGACAGAGGCGAACTATCTCCACATCCGAAGCCTTGTGCGAGCATTTTCGCGCATGGATATGTGCTTGAATCGGTTCTTCAATGCTCCGCCCCACGCTTTCGACGTGCGGATCGTGGCCTACCCAAAGATCGGTTCTGCTTGAGCCGTTGATTAACCGTGCTCCCCATCTACCGCCCGCTGATTCCCTGCCGGGGCTCCTCCCTCGTCTAGATGCATGCGCCACCAGTCGAGTGCCGGTCCCCTCAGCAACGATACAGCCAAGTTGTCACGTGACGGGTTGTCATTAATACTTGCTGCTGTGAAGAAGATTTCCATGGCGAACAGCCAACCGCTCATTGTAGTTGTTCTGTCGGTCGGGTTGAACGGCGGTGGCATCGGAGGTTTGATTTTAATGGCCGCCCGCGGCTCGCTGTGGACTTCTTCAACTGCTTCAGGTGTCATCGACGCCCTTGCTTCGCTCGCAGCATCTTCGTCTCGGGTAACAGGCCGCCCCTGACGCGTTTCACCCCGCGTCTGGAGAAGCGACAAGTTTTCGTTGCGCAGCGTCTGCACTTCGCTTCCCAGCGACTCGAAATTATCGGCGAGTTGTTAAAGTTGGGCCTGCAGTGTCGTTACTGTAGCCGCCCTGGCTTGCAGCTCGTCAAACTCCTCCTGAGTCACGTTCCTAACACTACGACGGGTAGAGCTTTCCGGCGTGATAGATATGCTGTAAAATTTACCTGACAGATCTGAGGGTGCACACGCTTCTAGCTGGAGGAGCTTTAACGAGCTCACCTACCAACCGCAGGTCAACCCTCTATTCTGTCGGGTCCTCTCCCGATATAAACGGACTACTCTACGGAAGACTAAGCGGGCAGGAACGGAGCTCTGATACCAGCTGTTATGAATTAATCAGAGTAATAACATGTAGTGTAATCAAGGAGTCTTGATTCAAGAGTGTCGATACAAATGAGGGCCTACGCAATTATAGGCACGAACAGAGCTAGCCGAGAACCACGCGAACAGGTTGGGGCGGTCCGGTTGGCGAAAGCTATGGAAGCGCCGCGCGTCTAGGTTTGGGTTCGCGAAGTGGTTCGGGACCGAAGAAGTTGGCCGGGCCCGGACTTCCGAGAGTCGAGGGCGTACGCGCTGTAGTCGAGCCCAGTAAGGAGAAGGGAATTTCCTTACAATGTAGTCGTCACGTGACGCCCGCAGGTAGTTTCATCTATGGATCAATGCTGGGTACAATGAAGCTTAACGACATACAACATAAGGAAATATAGAATCGTCTGCCTAGTACCAATCAACATATTCGCCTTCAGCTTTGGGCCTTCTCTTTGCTCGTGGCCGGCGATTGTTATCATACGAGGCTTTTGCTATGTAGGCCTGTATATCAAAAGCTCCTTCTTGCAGGGGTACCATTCCATCAATAATCCTGCGCCATAAAAAGGGAGGGGGCAATGCAAGATTTTGGGTAAGGTGAATTATTAACAAGGAGGAAGTGTGGGCTCATTGGAGTATGTGGGGAAGAGCATGAGAGACGAGACTGCATACATGGCAATCAGCATCAATGGCACGTACCCTTGCAGCTTATCAGTTAATTCAGCATGTTGATCAGATGTTACGTAGTGTATACAGAGCTCAGGGCACTGTCCCACCGCAAGGTTGACACAGTACCGAGCCCGGTCCTTGGTCTCCCCTCCCACTGACCATCCTGCACAGAGGCAATGTGATTATAATGAAGGCAGTATATATAACAGATGACTTCAGCTGAACAGTTGATGAAAGACAACAATGCCATCTTTGAAACCATTTACTTCCAAGATCTAAAACACATTTCAGGCTGCAAATTTCACATTTCAGGCTGCAAGTTACACAGCAGTGATTAACTATGGAAGGCACGGAGAGCAGTGACACGGACAGCACTTGCTTCGAAACAGTGTGTAATGAGTCGACTCAAAAATTGACTCATTACGCTAAGATGCATGCCAGCACCCACCTTGGAACGCGTTGGGAGACATGGCCCGGGCTCGTGCAGTGTCCTCCGCATAGGAGAAGAGGAAGGGAGCGGTCACTATGCAGCTGGAGCGACAGGCTGAAGGGTGGGGGCGGGTGGGGGAATGGGGGAAGGGGGGAGAGAGGACAAGGAGAGGCATGGGGTTGCAGTGTCATCCGCATAGGAGAAGAGGAAGGGAGCCGTCACTATGCAGAGCGACTGTAACAGAGCCAGGAAAAGGGAGGGGGGGTGTCCAGATACACGCTGGGGTTGCCCTTGGTCCTCGGGGAAGGATCACAGGTGCAGAGCCTGGGGGGTTATGAGCGCACTTACCCGCTACTCAACAAGCCCTTCTAACTCAGTGGTTAGTGACTGAATTCTGACAGGGGGTTGGGGAGAAGGGACGTGAAGGGGAGTCACAGCATGCGGCTTTGCAATGTCAACGAATCTCAGTCACGTACACTGAGAAGAGGCAAGGCATCTGGGTTGACCTACATTGACCAAGGCAGCGGATCGCGTTGACCTACATTGACCAAGGCAGCGGATCTCGTTGACCTACATTGACCAAGGCAGCGGATCTCGTTGACCCAGGGCCAGAGATCGCCATCCTCCTCGTCTTCCTCTTCATCGTCAATCCAGCCACCCCCGGACCCACTGCTGCGCCATCTGTCGACATAGATTCAGACATGTAAGCATGTTGCACACGCGCATGAAGATGCATTCAAGAGCATAAGACATTATGGAAATCCACACATGCACATAGGCACATGCATACGCACATACACATGCACATCGGCACATGCATACGCACATACACATGCACATCGGCACATGCATACGCGCATGCACATAGGCACATGCATACACCAATACACATGCATGCATGCACGTAGACATAAACCAAACGCAAGGACAGAACAGGATGTGCTGCATGCATGCATGCATGCATGCATGTGCCTATGCACGAACACAATGACAAAATCGCGCAACGTGGGTCAAGTGGAGCTCGTTATACACCTACCTTCTGCCCGTGGGATTCTCTGCCTCCTCTAGAAGCAACTGCAGGATAAGGAAGGTGGGAGATGGACGGAGATGGGAGGTGGAAGGAGACGGGAGGTGGAAGGAGACGGGAGGTGGAAGGAGACGGGAGGTGGGAAGGAGACGGGAGGTGGAAGGAGACGGGAGGTGGAAGGAGACGGGAGGTGGAAGGAGACGGGAGGTGGAAGGAGACGGGAGGTGGAAGGAGACGGGAGGTGGAAGGAGACGGGAGGTGGAAGGAGACGGGAGGTGGAAGGAGACGGGAGGTGGAAGGAGACGGGAGGTGGAAGGAGACGGGAGGTGGAAGGAGACGGGAGGTGGAAGGAGACGGGAGGTGGAAGGAGACGGGAGGTGGAAGAGGGGGGGAGGAGACGGGAGGTGGAAGGGAGGGGGGGGGGGGGGGGGGGAGGGTGGAAGGAGACGGGAGGTGGAAGGAGACGGGAGGTGGAAGGAGACGGGAGGTGGAAGGAGACGGGAGGTGGAAGGAGACGGGAGGTGGAAGGAGACGGAGGTGGAAGGAGACGGGAGGTGGAAGGAGACGGGAGGTGGAAGGAGGAGACGGGAGGTGGAAGGAGACGGGAGGTGGAAGGAGACGGGAGGTGGAAGGAGACGGGAGGTGGAAGGAGACGGGAGGTGGAAGGAGACGGGAGGTGGAAGGAGACGGGAGGTGGAAGGAGACGGGAGGTGGAAGGAGACGGGAGGTGGAAGGAGACGGGAGGTGGAAGGAGACGGGAGGTGGAAAGGAGACGGGAGGTGGAAGGAGACGGGAGGTGGAAGGAGACGGGAGGTGGAAGGAGACGGGAGTGGAGACGGGATGGAAGGAGAACGGGAGGTGGAAAGGAGACGGGAGGTGGAAGGAGAACGGGAGGTGGAAGGAGACGGGAAGGTGGAAGGAGACGGGAGGTGGAAAGGAGACGGGAGGTGGAAGGAGACGGGAGGTGGAAGGAGACGGGAGGTGGAAGG